ACTGTATAAATGCACTATTGACTCATAGATTCTTTGTGCTCAAGCATTAGCTTTGCTCAAAGAACCCTTTGATTGATATTGGTTATGAACGAATTTGTCTAGGGACGAGATACGTGACATTGATATTTGTGACTTCTAATATGTTGGGTGCAGAGAATCTATTCTCTACGGATCATAAAGGCTTGTTCAATAAGTGTGTGGTCCAACTCTTTTCGATTATTATAGTTTAATACTTAGTAGGAGGAACTTCTGTTCTTGTACATCTGTTATTTGTATGCAAATAAGTATCTTCATCAAGTCCTCCCCTGTTATTGTTAAAAGTTTCTGAGTGATCTCTCTGGCAGTTGGTAAAAGCTGAATGAGTACGTGTTGCTAATCATTTTATTTGTCCATATGGGTTCTTTGAGAAAGTTTGGTTTGGCTTGACTTTTAGTGGATTTTAAATTATACTTATGCTACTCTTGTTTCTGACAGGATATCTAGCAAGAAATAAATTTGCTGCCATGCGTGAGACAGCTGCTGCCATTGTAATTCAGACTAATTTCCGGCGCTGGTTCATCTTGCGTGCATATAAGCAACTTCATTTGGCTGCTGTTCTTATTCAATCTTGTATCCATGGTTTCTCGACTCGCCGGATGTTTTCATGTAGAAAAGAAGACAAAGCTGCCACTGTTATCCAGGTGAATATATTTTGTTAATTGTTTTCGTAGCTTTTTACTGTAATATTATATGCATATTGAACATTCCGCTGTAATATTTTTGTAACTATGTATTTGGGTTTATCATGCTATATCAATAAATTGTCTCTTGATTCAGGCTCGTTGGAGGATGTTCAAAATCCGCTCTTTGTATCGTAATCGTCAAAATAATATTATTGCTATACAATGTTTGTGGAGGCAAAAGTTGGCAAAAAGAGAACTTCGGAAGCTTAAGAAGGTAAACACTGAGTTTTAGTTCACATCTCCATCACTGTTATTTGAATTTGGCTGGCAGCATCACATTCTTAGGAGATGTGTGCCCATTTCCTTACAAATATTCACCTTGTCTTTTCCTAGTAAAATACATTTTTTTCCAATTTACGTAGGAGGCTAATGAAGCTGGTGCATTGCGTTTAGCAAAGAGCAAGCTTGAAAAACAACTGGAGGATCTTACTTGGCGACTACATCTGGAGAAAAAGATACGGGTATTAATTTGTGTATGACAGTATGTGCATGAGTGTATTGAATTGTTTTTCTTTTCAAGAATAAATTATAGAACTGATGACATCCTGTGGTGGGCATCTTTGATCTAATTCCCAGCTTTTTAGTTATTGAATGAAATAAGTTTTCCTTTGGTTTTCTGGGCGCGAGAATCCGTGTAAGATTTCTGGCCGGAGATGCTTAACAGTTTTCCCGTAGCGATCATCCCTCTCATATTTATTTCCCCTTTTCAGTCGTTTCATTTATACTTATTGGGTTTGGGAATGGTGATGACCCCTCATTTATCTGCATTCTAGTTTTCACCTGAAGGAATGCATATGTAAAAAGTTGGCCCCCAATTTGTGTTGATCTTCACATCATGTTTAATATGCCTATTTCTATAGCTTTGTTAAATGGAGGATTTGTGGTGCAGGTGTCCAATGAGGAGGCTAAATTAGTTGAAATCTCAAAACTTCAGAAAACGGTGGAGTCTCTAACATTGGAACTGGAGGCAGCCAGACTTGCCACCCTTAACGAGTTTAACAAGAACAGAGGGCTAGAAAGACAACTTGAAATATCAGCCAAGGAAAAATCTGGTTTAGAAAGAGATGTTATTTCCTTGGCTGAACTGAGAAACGAAAACACACTGTTGAAGGTAATAATATTGTGGGAGCTATTGTTCGTCCCCTTCTATATCCGCACTTCTCTTCATGTTAACTTGAATAAATTGCTTCTACAGAGTTCCCTTAATGCTTTAGAAGAAAAAAATAAGATGCTGGAGTCTGAAATTGCCCAAACTAAAGAAGATGCAAGCAATACCATGACTAAGTTGAGGGATGTTGAAAAGACTTGTTTGCAGTACCAATTGAATTTGCGAAGGTATTGTTTAAAAATGAGGTTGAGCATGCAAAGATTCGAAACTGCCCTGGCACAATAAATAAATCAGTAATTACAGATACAATTGGCTCTACCTAATGTTTGTCCTGCATCAGTTTGGAAGAGAAGCTGTCAAATCTGGAGAAGGAGAATCATATTTCCCGACAGAAGACATTGGATATAACTCCAAGGATCAGTCGAGCCGGGTTTGTCAAACCTTTCCTTGAGGTAAGCAGTTTTTAACTAGCTTTCTTCTTGATGGTTGTCTTACCAAAATATTACGCTCGTTCAACTTTCAATCATATGAAATTATCTAACCTAGCATCACATATCGGAAACTCCCGCAATACTACTGTTGACAATTCACACTTTCCTTTTGAAACAGAAATTCTCTGGTCCACTTGCTCTTCCTTCTGCTGATCAGAAATCTTATGTAAGTTGCGGTCTGTTGGATTTGATAAGTTGCTACTCATTTATATATAGATATATTGAATCTGGGTACCTATATTTGTGGTATGATTCACTTCTTTTGATTGTTGAAGGAATCACCTACTCCATCCAAATTAATTACACCAATATCTCAAGGGTTTTCTGATTCCCGCAGAACAAAGTCGGGGGTCGATAGGCATCAGGTCTTTCTTTTACTTTTGTTAATTGGTATTAATGCGTACAAGTGAAAGATAGCTTGTAAATGTGCCTTTTCAAAATTGTAGTTTATGTGCGAATTCCGCCTTTTAAACAATATTATTGGTTGCAGGGTAATTTTGAAGTCATTTCACGTTGCATTAAAGAGAATTTGGGCTTCAAAGATGCAAAGCCGGTGGCTGCTTGTGTTATCTACAAATGCCTCGTTCATTGGCATGCCTTTGAATCGGAAAGGACTGCTATATTTGACTTTGTTATTGAGAGCATCAATGGTGTTCTAAAGGTGATCCTTTTCCATTATTCATAAACTTACTTGTTTGACCCTGACCCTTGCGATGGACAGTTTGTAATTTGAAAACTTTCAAATCTTGGCCCGAAACATTTGGTGGGAAAATTGTTGCCAAAAATAGCTAGGTTGAGTTTGGCAATTATATTGGATATTGATAATTATATGAAATTCAAAATTTTTGATTAAATATTTATTGCTTCTAGTGCTTTTATTAATATCTAGAGAGTAATTCATGAGCTTCTTTTAACAAATAACTATATCTAGAGAATAAATCATGAGTTTCTTTCAACAAATAACTAAGTCCATTGTAATTGAGGATGTCCATGAATATTAACTTCGTTAGAAGTTGTGGTTGTTATGCCTAGTGCTTAATGGTGGTATCTATTTGATCAATACAATGTTTGCTTCAGGATGGTGATGAGGATGCTACTTTGCCTTACTGGTTGTCTAACACCTCTGCGCTTTTGTGCCTTCTCCAAAGAAATCTGCGGAGCAATGGGTTCTTGACTGCTGGTTCTCAGCGTTCGGTGGGGTCCACAGCCACAGGGTTTAATGGAAAGCTTTTGCAAGTAAGTTAGAAATGATCCATTCTTTTGCTCAAGGACAGTATCTGAATTTAAGATTCTGTTTCTAGATAATGTGACAATGGTTTTTATTTTTTTCTCTCCCCTTAGGTGTCTCCTCTTCTTTTTTCTTTCTGATTTTTTTCCAAACAAAATTACACTTTGTTATCTTATTATTCCTTTCAATATCTATTTGATGTCATTGTTTAATTTTCCCATCTCTCGCGTGTTCATAGGCAAAACAACAATAAAACTATAATACACAAGAATTATGTTGAGGTGGATTTCATAGCATTGATTGTAATAACTAACAAGTGTTTATTGTTGTACAACCATATTTGGTTACTAGTGAAGTATGCAGAATGTCTATACTTGATTAATTTCAAACTGAGACAAAAAAAATTACCCTTTTTTGGGCTTTTTAGGGCCCGAAGTCGTCTTTCAAATATCGTGGTTTGGATGATGGTTTATCCCAAAGCGAAGCTAAATACCCGGCCCTGTTATTCAAGCAACAGTTGACTGCTAGTGTAGAGAAAATATTTGGTTGGATCAGGGATAATTTGAAGAAAGAAATATCTCCATTGTTGGGACAATGCATTCAGGTACATTTTGACATTCGCTATCTTTGTTTTCACCTTGCAAATAATCTATGGATTAAAGGGACTATGTGCTATGACCTTCTATATTGTACTATTGGAATTTTGGAATCACGATGTTCTCTGGTTACTGTAGATGATTCAATACCACATGCATACCTGTTACCTTAGGTTATAATATCTGAAGATATTAAGCCATAGTATTATTATGATCTTCTACTTATATCTTCTTCCAATTTGGGCTTCAATAATTGCATCAAATATTGCTGTTATTATTATAATTATTTCATTGCTTTTATTTTATTGATAAGGCACCGAAAAACCAGAGAGTTCATGGTGGGAAGTCATCTAGATCACCCACTGGTGCCCCCCAGCAATCACCGAGCAGTGAGTGGGATAGCATCATCAAGTTCTTGGATTCATTCATGAGTCGATTACGGGGAAATTACGTATGCCACTTTCTTCTGTATTTTGTTTCTCTCACTTTGTTCTCCATATACATTTTTAATTCATCTTGAATTTTCCAGGTTCCTTCATTTTTCATCAGGAAGCTCACCACACAGGTCTTCTCCTTCATCAATATACAATTGTTTAACAGGTAATTTATTCTGATCCTCTAAATTATTCCATGTAAAAAGAATAAAAAAAAAACTTTGACTGAAATAATTGGGCAGTCTTTTGCTTCGTCGTGAATGCTGCACGTTTTCAAATGGTGAATACGTTAAATCTGGTCTGGCGGAGCTGGAAAAATGGATAGTCAACGCAACAGAGGAGGTATTGTTGTTGTTATTATTATTATTATTATTATTATTAGTACTACTACTACTACTACTATACAACCTCTGGCACAGGTTAAATTTTTCATGTTCATCAATTACTTGATGCAGTTTGCAGGAACCTCTTGGCATGAGCTAAATTACATTAGACAAGCGGTTGGGTTTTTGGTATATCATACAGCTCTGACTTCTCTTTTTAATTTTTACGCTGTCGATGTTCCAAAAATGTAGTAGCTGATGTATTTTGTTTTCAAATTCAGGTCATACATCAAAAGAGGAAGAAATCTTTAGAAGAGATAAGACAGGATCTCTGTCCGGTGTGGTTTCTGTTAAAATAGTTTAAACATACGTCTTTGCAATTACCTATTCATGGATGGCTTTATCGGATTTACGTTCGACTTAATTTTTCCAATCTAATATATTTGGCAGAAATTGACTGTAAGGCAAATCTACCGGATAAGCACAATGTACTGGGATGATAAGTATGGTACTCAGAGTGTGTCAAATGAGGTAATAAGTGGTTTGCTGATATATAAATAATCTTTAATGCCGAGTCGACAGAGCTTTCCTTTAGTTCAAAGATACTCAATTAAATTCTTGCTTTATGGCTTTTTGGCAGGTTGTGTCTCAGATGAGGGAGATTGTAAATAAGGACTCCCAGAATTTATCGTCATCAAACTCGTTCTTATTGGATGATGACCTTAGGTAAAAATTATTTGCAGGTGCTCTTTGTAGGAATCTGATGAACATAGCAAAGGAAATGAGTTGCTAACTGTAGCTTCAACTTTCTTAACCCACTTCATGAATAAATCTTTGACTTTCGAATGATATTTCTTCGTATTGTGGCTGAGGTTTCTTAAGATAATTTTATAGACTGAATATTTAATGAGAGCATTGTTTTATACAACTAAAGAAGTGGGAAAAAATAATAATACAAAATTTAAATGAAACACTAACCCGGATTCAAGCTGCATGACATTTAGGGATCAAATGAGGAAACTTGGAGTGTGTATTTTGTGTCTTACTGCCTTTTTATATTTTCATTCACTATGACTCGGGCATCCTGTTAAAAAAATTTATATATTCTTTTTCGCAGCATCCCCTTCTCCACTGAAGATGTATATATGGCAATCCCTGCAATAGACCCTTCAGATATGGAACTTCCTCAATTCTTCTCTGAATATCCATCTGCACAGCAATTGCTGCAGAATTTGAAGTAAACACTCGGGCTCGTTTACTTTTAGTGGAATAGCGCTTAAATATTAGAAAAAAATCCCCCGCTTCACGTAAGTTGTGCATTTTTTAATGCGTTCAAGGTTGTACTGGGTATGAATAAATAAAAAGGCGCTAATCTTGCTTTTGCCTGTGTGAGTCGAGATGAAGGGGTTGTGATTGGAAAATATTGGCCATATGCAGAATTGAAGTCCGACTTTAGATGGAATCGAAAAATGTAACTTGTAGTGAAATTTGTTCTTGTTCGATTTGCAGGTATTAGATTCACACGAGGATTAGGGATTGTGCAGACGGGGAATTGTACAAAATCGAACTTTCTCTCAAAAGGCTCAAGTGTAATTTTGTTAAGCTTTTGCTCTTTTGGGTGTGTACTATGCAGTCCTAGTTAATGCAAATGTATGAGTATGATGTATCTTTGTCATATATATATATATATATATATATATATCTATATATATCATGTTAGGGAACTATTTTTTGCATCGCTTTTTCATCTGCTTCTACAATTCATTTCCAGGTGATATTTGTAGTAGGTAAGCACAAATTTGTTTAGGTGTATATAATCTTCCTGAATTAATACCAGCTAGATGTTGATGCATTTATTTTAGTTCTCTGAGACGCTTATATCGTGCAATTATTCTGATGCTAAGTTTATAATCTGTGAGGAAAAATTAATTAATCGTAATAAAACAAATTGGTAGCTCATGCTAAAAATAATATTAAAAATAATTACCAAAAATAAATGCAATGCTAATATTAAAATTAATAGTATCATATATTCGGGCAACATAAATATAACTTTCCTAATAATATCATATCATCAATTTGTTCCAATCACAACTAATTCATATTCATAAGAACATTTTAAAATATTTTGAGTTAAATAAATTACAATAAACTTATACACTTTAATGCACTACAATTAATTGTATAAAAATTAGTTTATGTAAAAACATATATGATTTGTCAACCAAATGCTTTGATGCAAAAATATCTAAAATATTAAATATTATTCTCAAATTGTCTCTAATTTTATCAAGTTTTTATGTTATTCTCACCAAATCCATCCTTATAACTCGGTGGTCTAAAAGTAACTAAAATGTTATATATTATTCTCAAATTATTTATATTTTGTAAGTTTTTATATTATTCATCCTTCTCATTCATATTCATCCTTAATAAAAATGAAAATATGTAACAATGTATAAATAACAAAATTTTATGGTATTATGGTCACATTCATCTTTAGATTTAGGTGGTCTAAGAATATAAAATACGATGCATTATTTTTAAATGGTCATCTCTGACCTAACAAAGAAGAGCTAGAGCCCTAATAAAAGATTAATTTAACCAAAAAAAATAAAAAATGAGTGTGGGTCTATGCCACATTGGTTTCTTAATAGCCCCGTGTCCAAACTAAAACCAAATAACTTTTATTCGGCTGTGAACAGTTTCATGCAGCGCCCTTCTGTGTCGCGTCCAACAATGGTTTTTCGTCGCGCCCAACAATGGGGTTAAACCAAATAACTTTTATTCGGCTGTGAACAGTTCCTTGCGCCCAAAAATCAGTTCTTTGTCGCGTCCAACAATGGTTCTTTGTCGCGCCCAACAATGGGGTTTTCTTCTACTAGGTTGTGCCAAGAAAAACCAAATAACTTTTATTCGGCTGTACAGTCCTAAAAAATAACTTTTATTCGGCTGGGACAGTCCTAAAAATAGGGTTTTTTCTCCCAGAGTGATAAGAAAAATTATATTAACATAATTTGTAATAATTGTTTTACAAATGATTACAATGTTGTATATGCCATACGCCAGTCTACTCTGCAATCGCATAAGACACTCAAATCCTTATGTTATCTGTTTTACAAATGATTACAATATTGTATATGCCATACGCCAGTCTACTCTGCAATCGCATAAGACACTCAAATCCTTATGTTATCGCTATATGATTATTGAAGACTTAGTTTCACTTCAAATGCATGTATACAATTTGGTTCCTACATAACACAATTTTACACTCTATGTACTGGCAACCAATAATTTCCAGCTAGCCAGTACGACCAATATTAACACTAAAATCGTGCACGAAAAAAATAGAAAGTAAAAAAAATATGATCTTTGATACTTGAACATTTAAATAAAAACCTAGGGTATAGGATTATGGTTCACTATGAAAAGAAGTAGATAAAATCCATATTTCCTACAAAACAATATCCAAAGACTGTTTTGATCTACAAAGTTCTTGTTTTTGTCAGGGCCCGACCCGTAAGCTCTGTTATCATCCGACTCGGAAAAATACCATTAAGAGGTTTCAAGCATCATGCTAAAAGAAATTAACAATTGACCCGATGCGACCCTCAACCACATCGGTCCACGCAGCGAACCGGTCCGAATTACCGAAAAACCGAAGTGATCAATACCTACCGAGGTCTACTTAAACCGAGGTCGTCACCTCCTTAAGCAGGTGACAAGGTGTCTACACTCCTATCACACTCTACGAGGATCGTCATCATTCATGTGGGGGCCACTACTTCAAACCGCCCACCAAAAGTTACTTTATGCGAAAAGTAGTACCCGAATCCCAAGATGTATATTGAAAAAGCTACTATAAATAGTGAGCCTATGACATTTGTACGGGGGATCTCTCCGAACTCATTATTATGCAACACGTAAAAGCCCACCACGGCTCTTCACCTCGGTTCACCTCGGACCGGGGCCATTGCTGAGTTTTTTCTACATGCTTTACGTCCAAACCGTTCATAATTATCATTTTAATCACTTGTTACATCGTTGTTAGAAATCACATAACAACATTTTGGCGCTAGAAGGAGGGCCTCATAAGTGATTTGAGGTTAATCTCCGCTCCTCCAAGTAACGATTCACACCAGCCGTATCCGCCATGTCTCACTCAGATCATCGTGGTCATACCTCACGGGACGGCCACAGTCGCAGCGCCGCGCAATCTGCCAGACGACAACCCGTGGCCCCACCTGTACCGGATTATGCTGTTCTGTTTCAAAATCCAGAGTTTGCGCGTGGTTTTGCCGCTCTAATGGCCCAAACGATTCCGGGAACATCAACAACTGCTCCGGGACACTCCATCATTCCCACGACTCCTGTAAACCGGCAGAATCCGCCAGCGCGACAAGACGGCGGAAGGACAACATCTCATGCTACATCTCAACCTCGTGATCGAATGTCGCAACCGCCTCCGGAACAAAATACGCGTCGCACCGACGCCGGGCGCAATCCTCCTATACTTCCTCAAGAAGAAACTGCCGAAAGCCAGTCGGGTCATTCACGACGGTCACCGCCCCATGCACAGCGCCGAAATCCCTCCAACCCGGCGCAGACCGACCTTCGACAGCATATTAAACGAAATCGGGCGCGTCAGGAGTCATCTGAACTCGAAACACTGCGACGAAAAATAGCCGAATTGGAAAGTCGGCAACGAGCACCTGAAGATCCACCTCGGCGGGCCTCCACCTCGGCGCAAGTGTATTTGGAAGCCGATTCTCCCCTTACTCCGGAACTCACTTCAGAACCAGTACCTGGAAAAGTCAAAGTTCCTCAGATCGGGCTATACGATGGAACATCTGACCCTGACTCGCACCTCGGTCATTATACTTCTTGGATGGATCTCCATGGGGCCTCAGACGCACTTCGGTGTCGTATGTTTTCACTTACACTGGGGCCTCGAGCCCAAAAATGGTACCACTCTCTTCCTCCACATTCAATTTGGAAGTGGCAACAACTGAGGTCGGCTTTCCGATCTCATTTCATCGGGGCTCAAGTATGCCTTATCCCAAAAGAATCTCTTGCGAATATCACTCAAAAAGATGATGAAAGTGTCAAGGATTATATTGCCCGGTTTAATGACCGAGTTTAGAATATGAAACCTTGTCATCCTGAAACCTTGCTTGTCATGGCTATTGCTGGATTGAAACCGAATTCGATTTTCTGCTGGACACTATGCCAAAATAAACCGAACACTTTTCAAGAATTTCTCGCTCGAGCCCAGCAGCACATCATAGCGGAAGAAGCCATGTCGGTTCCCGATTTTAACTTTAATCCGAAGTCTTCTAAAGCGGAAACTGACGAAAAAATGAAGAATAAATTTTTCGACAAGCAAAATAAGACTCAATTCAGGGGACTTCCCCGAGGAGACCCCAATGATCCTGAAGTTCGAGCTGCCCGCAAACAGTATGCTACCGACGTGAAGTCCGGTTATCAAACCGTGTATTCTGCAGGAGCAGCCACTATCTATGAAGAAATCAAAGGGAAGGGCATTTTACCAGATCCCAAACCACTTCGGATGCCCGAAGAAAAACTGGACAAATCCCGATATTGTGATTATCATAAGTCGCCAGAGCACGACACGGACGAGTGTTTGAGTTTGCTAGCCGCATTGTTGCGTTTGATTGGCCATCCGCAGCTTAGAAAATTTTACCGTAATACTGATCCCCAGAGGCGAGGTTCGGGACGCCAGATCGAACCCTTTGAGGAAGACGATGAGGAGGACCGAGGTGCCATGCCCAAGCGCATCCGACAAGGAGACAAGGAAGTATTTATGTTCACCTCAGAAACATCCGATTCTAACTCTGCCGAAACTTCCCGAGGGCGTAAACGAGATCGGTCTCCTGAACCGATGCGAATCACAGTCCACCGTGTCAACACCAATAACTCTCGGAATACATTATCCCGTCGACAGATCAAGGCTTATGCCCGACAAGCCTACAACTCCGGCAAACAGGTCTACACTACCGATTTGAGAGATATTCTCAACAATCGGAACTGTCCCATAACCTTTAATATGGAGGATGCTAATCACTTCGCACACCCTCATTCCGATGCACTTGTTATCACCGTCCCTATATGCGGTATTCCTGTTCATCGTGTCATGGTGGACACTGGGGCCTATTCGAGTATTTTGATGTTAAAAGCTTTTGACAAAATGGGTCTTGATCCCGCCAAAATCCGACCT